ACACACACACACACTCCCCTCTTTCTCTTCCCTTCTTCGCTCTTTCACTCATCGCACTTTCTCTTTATTTCCCTGATTTTTATCTCGCTAATCTTCTCTCTCTTATAAATTAGATATTAGAAGTGAATGAAACAATAATATAATAATGATAATGATCGATGCATTTCTGGTGATTAGCCGTCCCTTTAAAGCATAGAAGTGATAATTTGGACAACTTGTAGCCTAACATACCCCTCCCTCCCCCCTCCTCCGCCGTGGTTTAAAAAAAATATATATATATTTGGGATATCCGTTTGTTCGTGCGGAAACAGATCTTAAGGACAGAAGAATCAGTTCATTTTTCTCAGTTTTGCATCTTTCTCTTTACATTCAACGCTGCCTCTTTCCTTTGCAAGAGTAAACCCATAATAAATCAGTAACCACATGTATAACTGGAGTTTACCGATATTCGTGTAAGAAAAGACGCAAGAACCGTTCTGAATAATTTTGAATTTGTCAAACGAATAAACTCCCATATGATTCTTCTAGAAATAGATCGGATATGCGATGAGCAGAGACTTCAATCAATCGACTCACGTCGCCACATTCGACATTCACTGCAACAACATGTTGGTTTGTTGTTTTTAATACATACTCATAGTTACTATCTGTGTTATTTGTTCCGCACCATCCTCACTCCCTTTTTTCTTCATCAACACAGACAGCCAGGACAATCCAGGGGCTCAGCTTACTGCTGCTTGTGCTGCTCTCCATGGACACGACCTACGCCAGAAGCAGACCCAGCCTTGAGTGTAACCCACATCAAGTTAAGATGTCGTGCCTCATGGGTTGTTTCGGCTGTTTTGAAGCTTTCGGTGTGCAGCTCTACGACATGGCGGCGTGTTGTCGCGACTGTCGCCTTAGCGACGCTGACGTCATCGACGACGGACCAACCAGATGCTCGCCTCGCTACATCCGACGGAGCTGGCTGAAGCGGATTGGCTGACTGCCGCGGTAGGCGGTGTGCTTCTGACCTCCACTACATCATTATGTATAAAGTGTGGGGGTAGCTATTCCGCCAGTTGCAGGCCTCACAGCCTGTATCAGCCTCTCCTGTCATTAAAGATGCTAAAAACACCTTTAGCCTTGTGTACCCTGCTTTTTTTTTTAAATCAATGACATAAAAAAAATACGTGTGTGTGATCAAGTTGTCCAATATTTATATACGGGAGGGGATGAAATAAAAGGCGTGTGTATGTGTGTGTGAGGGGGGGGGGGCACATTTAACTTCATACCCCTGTACTAATAGGAACAAATCTGTTTTATTTCTCATTCACTGTATAAAAGAACAAGGGATCATAAAATTTTTGTGATTTTAGTAAGTTACTGTGACAACTTTTCCCATTTAGGAACAAACTAGTTTCATTAAAAATAATATATTATATACCAATGTACACACGTTTTTAAAATTTACAGAAAATTGAGGTAGCCAACCCGATACCGATACTAATATTGAGTGTAATTTGCCATTTGCAACAACAAAAAAAAGAAGTTTCATTCAGACATTGCTCAAGAAAACATAAGGAGACATAGACGGACTGATCAAAACGGAAAACGACCTGGCGAGAAAAATGGACAACGATCAAGAAAAAATGAA